AAAGGAAAGCACATGACAAGACTATTCGTCACCATGGGGATTACATAAATAGAAATAAATTGATCTGACATAACCACATAAATCACAACTCATTTTCTGCAGCACCTATAACACTCATTGTACCGACTAAATCAATGTGCAAAAAATTACAAGTTAACACAAGTAATCTACTTGAACTAGTTCCGTATGAAACATGGCGTAAATACAAATATCTGATATCGCTCATTTGAAGGACTAAGGTACTTCCTTATAGTTAATCAATATTAATCATTATGAAAGTCAAATATGAAAAAGTTTCGATGAAAAGTCATTGTTTTGGCAACTGTGATTATAACTCACTTGAAAATGATGAGATTCACACATTAAATGAAAATATACTACGAAAAAGAAGTTAAAGAACCCCCGATTCTTTCATATTACTTTAGTGATCTGTCATACCATGACAGATTAACTATAGTAATATGAAAGAATCAACATTTTCTAGTTGGTAATCAAAAGTGCACCATTTAGAAACATATTTTGTTGACAAAACAAAATTCAAACGTCCCCCACAAACCCACCTGAAGATAGTTTGTGTCTTAACATGTTGTAAGAATGACCTTAGAAAATAATCAACATTGTATTGTTAGGATTCTCATCATAAGACTGAAAGACATGAGTATACTTTGAAATATCTTAAAAACCTCAAAACAATCCATTTACATGTATCAATAGAGACCACAGAAATCTATAGTATGGTAAACAGTTACCGTAATCGACGTAATAAGCGCCTAGGGCACTCTCAAAATTAGAAATAGGGGGCTCTTATTAGAATATAGTGCGTATTATACGGGAATAAATAAGTCTTGTGCAAATTTTTCAATCGGAAGGGGTGCTAATTGGGATTGTTCACTAGCCAATATATTAGCAAATATTGCTGTGGGCGCTTGTTAAAGCGGGGCGCTTATTACGTCGAATACGGTATGTCTGATTTAGGTTTCAATGTTGAAAATGCATACGAACTGAATAGTCATGTCCTCCAACCCACCTCTTGACCTGTTTTGTTGTAATCGTGGTTGTTGCTCGGGAAGAGTGATCTACGGTGGGGCACATCTGTACACACATCTCCACGAGGTAAGAGAGTTAACTGACTATAAAAGTCCAGTTTCCACCCTTGCCAAACTAGGCTGGTGTTATGGAGTTAGACTTTGGCTGTACTAACGAGTCTATGCATAGTCCAATCAAAAACAAAAACAAAATCCAGTTCGTGAACTGTCATGTAGATTTCCGTCGATTGCAGGATTTGCAAACCACATACACCGCCAACTCGTTGTCAACAGATATTTTCCAAATCTTTTCATGTCTTTAATCAAGGTGCTCACGTGATTTGATGCACTTCGTGATGTAAGACCCATTTTATCAAAATATAGATCTTGATTATCGATCAGATCGTTTTGACTGGACGCCACCATTTTGTTTGAAGCATATGTAAGTGATACGAGAGGTGAAAGTCCATAGGAGAGGCTTAGAAGGGACATAAGTCGTAATAGCCACTGGTGTCGCTACAATCGAGACCAGAAATTCCAGCCAAGTTCGGCAAGGGTGGAAACTTGACTTTTAAAGTCAGTTAACTCTCTTGCCTCGGGAAGATGATCTGTACAAGATGTATCTTATGGTGAATCTATTTTACAACATGTTTCTCCATGGGCAGTTGATCTTTCGTTCAGTGTACCAAAACGGAAGACCATGCCTATTTTATCAGTTGCATGCAGCCTTCCCACACAAGCATGTATACAGCAAAGGAGTATCTGTTTTTCGCAGATTAACATACAAGAGCTTGAAGAATGTAAGTAATTCACTGTAGGGCTGGGACAAGTCCAAACTTACTACCCCGGGACCCTACCCCCTATTACCCAACCCTACCCAGGTACCCGCTGTCAAAATGTCTGATTGGGAATAGTTTTACTGCAGCCCTGGCAAAAACTATTCAGATACATGTATAATACGATCAGATCATGCGTACACTGACGTCAGCCGAAGCTTTATCTATCTATAGCTATACTCAAACATATACAAGTTAAAAGGAATGTGTGCATCGCCAGAAAGAAATGCGAACACCAGTGTTTTTGTCATTAAACAATATATGACGTGACTAACCACGTGTCCGGGTAGTCCCCATGGCAGTCACTCCGATGTTCAGCTTCGTAGACATCATGAGTAGAAACCAACTGGTCACTAGTTCATTTGGGACTAGACGTTCATGTAAATTTGTGGAAAAAACAAGTAGTCTTTCCTGATTTTCACTAGTCAATTGATTAGTGCACTTGTGGCTGGGTCAAAACCAGCAACTTTACATCCACTTCTAAACATTAAGTACACACGTATTGGTGCATTTAACAATATATATGACAGGCATGAGTGAAGTAACCCATTTCTTACCCACTCTAGAATAGGATAATTCTTATCGTCAAATCAATGCATATTTTGTCTATTCTCATGATTGCAGTGGCTCATGAATACACATCTTCCAGAGGCAAGGGAGATAACTGTAATATCAAATTTCCACCCTTGCCAAACTAGCCTGGAATTTCTGGGCTCGATCGTAGTGCCACTAGTGGCTATTACTAGTTATGTCCCTTCTTTGCCTCTCCAAATGACCAATCAGATTCCACTTCTCATATCACTTACACTTGCTTCAAACAAAATAGCGGTGCCCAGTCAAGGCGATCTGATCAATAATCAAGACCTGTATTGTGAAAAAACAGGTCTTACATCGCGAAGTGCATCAAATCACATGAGCACCTTGATTAAAAACATGAAAATATTAGTAAAATATCTGTTGACACCGAGTTGTCGGAGCACATGCTTTGCAAATCCTGCGATCAACCGAAATGTGCACAACAGTTTAAGAACCGGATGTTGATATAGTTACGCGATTTTGATTGGACTACGCACAGTCCAGTCGAAAAATAACTCCATAATACCAGCCTAGTTCAGCAAGAGAGGAAACTGGACTTTTAATGTCAGTTAACTCCCTTGCCTCGGGAAGATGATTAATACATAACAACGTTCATAAGTGACCTCATCCCATTTACTGCTCACACTGTGTGTGATCTTCCATTAAAACGTTTTCGCCATATCTGCGGATTACCACGATGATGATGATTATGCAAACCAGATAAGTGTGTTTGTTGAGTGTCACACCACGACAGTATTTCTGTCATCTGACGTTTACGACTTTGGTGAAACATGCAAGTATGGATATGGTGCTGACAAACTGGAAACATAATCAGAGATCATTTGCAGGATCGAAACCCACGTTCATAGGATTCTGTCATGTCGAAGGGCAGCAATTTGCAGAATTTTACGCTTTGTCGTAACTATGTTGAAGTATGGGAGTTACAATAATCTTAGCGCTATGATTGCTTTGTGGAACAGGGCCCTCGACCCCGTTTCACAAAGTGATCTTAGCGCTAAGATGGTCCTAACTCCCATACTGTAAGGTAGACTTACGACAGAACTAACATCTCTTTGTGGAATGGAACCCTGGGGTCAGCTGTGGTAGCCATCTCTCAGCTGCTCCCTATAACTGATTTTGATACTGATTAGCGACAATTCAATATCAGAATCGTTCATAGGGAGCAGCACAGAGAGGCGGTCACTGCAGCGACCTGGGGTCTGTACCACAAAGCGACAGAACCATTACGACTAGAATAAGTCTATGTTAAAGGATGGGAGTTACGATCATCTCAGTGCTAAGATCTCTTCAGGGAAGGAGGCTTTGAGTTATGACCATCTTAGCACACAAGGATAGCTTTATAAAAATGGTAGTATATGATATACAACACTGTAGAATCACAGTTCATATCGGTGCAAACAGAACCCGTCTACAATACAAGATATGTTGGCACCAGACAATACACTAATACTGCAGTGATAGACACAAGCCTGACAATGGAATGCTGGAGATCACAGACAAGCTTACAAAACTCTCCACAAACATAAATATTCATGATACATCACATGCACCAATTACACTAAATACATACAATAGTTCATATATATACAGAGACAATTTGATTTAATCATGGACTATAACAAGGGGGAAGGGACCGAATAATTAGGGTACAGTTGACAAAATATGCAAGTTTCGCAGCTTAAGAGGATCAAACGTGCAAGACTTAGCAGGGTTGTTTAATCATCAACATTACTTTGAGAACTCACCATTATGTGTGTGTGTGAGTTGGGTTTAATGCCGCTTTTAACAGTATTCCAGTTATATCGCGGCGTGTCAGCTTAATGTGGGAGGAAAGCCCGAAGTGATGCAGGTTTCAGACGTTTACCACTTCGGTGAAACCCACGAGCCGGGTATGGTGCTGACAAATCTAGAAACATAATCAGGGCGAACCGGGATTCGAACCCACAATCATAGGTTTCTGGCGTGCCCAAGGGATGCAACTCTGCACAGCGAATCACGGCGCCTTAGACGACTGGGCCACCCGTGCCCCCAAAACTTATCATTAGGCCATAATAGATTAATTGTCAGATTTTCACCCCCAAACCCTGACATAACATTCTTGCCTCTAATGAGTCCAAGTGCCAACAGATGAGACTATCACAGTGTGTGGCCCCTGCTTACGTGATGAAATACACCCAATCTCATTAAAATCAGACCTTAGTTCTCGCTACTGCTCAAAAAAGATCTGAAGACATCCCATTAGGGGTCACGTCAGAACGACCTTTCATCCGACTAATCAGAGCGTCGCTTACCAGATCATAAAAGTGACAGTCAGAATGTGATTTCTAATCATGCAACCTCGCAAACTTTAACACGGGGCATTCTGAACGATAATTACGTGTTAAACAACAGAATCCATACAATCTAGACCATCTATTAGCCATTCCAGAATGTTCTTTTGTTCAGGTTTCAAAATTGTAATCAAGATTTTTTCAAAATATGTTTTGAAGCGTAGTTGCCAATTTCAAATTAGTGCCGTAAAGCACAAGAAAGCTCCCTTCTGATTGGTCAAAGTTCGCGCAAGGTCGGTCTGACGTGACCCGTAATGGAATGTCCTCCGATCTTTGTTTAGCGGAAGCAAGAAGTAAGATTCGATTTTAATGAGATTGAAATACACCACACTATGCACAGTCCTTACCAACATTCCTCCTTCATCTGAATCACATCCGTTGACGTCATTAATATGGATACCTTGAACAGATTTTTTAAAACAATTGTAAAAAAATAATAAATAAATAAAAAATGCCTCCCGCATTACATAATTTAAAACGTTGGATGAGAATCTGATAATTAGTCCTTATGTGTTGAGAAAGGAAAAAGGAAAAAAACATTTTAAAAAATTCTGGGGAAAGGTCATACCATATAAGAAGTTCTGATCTACAACGTATATGATAAGACGAGTCTCTTATCAAATTAAAAAACATTTTTGATTCTTGTCTTCTTTCGTCTATGCTAAAACATTGGCACATTCACGAGTAACCATGTTTATATTTGATTTAAACTCATGTGTTTCTATTGACCAGTATCCATATAAACATAACACTGGTTATCATGGCTATATGACAAATTTCACCAAACATTTTGAAAAGTTTCTTTCCATAATCATGTCCATATTCATTCATGGATATACTGACCAAAACACTTGTTCATACAGCACTTGGCCATATTCCCTCAAGGATAACATCATATCATTTCAAACCTGTCCTGCTCAAATCTGTTCACGGTTCTGTGCTGTTTTGAGGACAACTCTAATTTCTAGCAATATCAATGCTGGGCACAGCACAATCTTATAAAATCAGGTCCTTTAAACCCTGATCTGAGTTGATGCAATACAGAGCAATGTGGGCAATGTTGAAGCCAGTTCTGAGTGTCTCCTGCAGAGTCATTTCTGTAATATTGCTTAGGCTAAAAAACATAAGTCTTGGTTCTCAGGCACCGCCTGCATCGTCATAAAGTCTGCCGCACATTTTGTTTTTATTTCCATTTTCAAAAAAATCAAAAAATCCTTATACTGTACTTAAAAACAATGGATCTAAAACAGCACACAGTTACTTCCCTTTACATGAACGCATCTTGTGTTATGGTCATGGCGGCCATAGGAGTTTGTATTCCTGTAGGCCCTTTCCCAGGTTGATGGTACACAACTCAACTGTATATTTGGTTACAAACTAATTTGAACAAGCAAAAAAAAAACAACCGCCTGTCCGCACCATATTTTCAAAAGTTATTGCCTGAGAACCAATTCCTATTTTTTTAAGCCTAAAAGAAGCGGAAACCCCACCAAATCAATTATTCTTAAAAAAGAGAAAACATTAAAAACAAATGTAAAAACAATACATCTTCCTATCATACATACATCATTTAACAGTGATGTGGATCATGACTAATGTCATTAGGACATTTCACGACATTAACCTTGATAGAACATCTTTCTTTTATACTATCACCCAATATGAAAAGAATCTGCCCGGACATTTTTGATGACAAGCAGTCAACATCAGTCTGTCTGATGGATACAATCTTTCAGATGCTTGTAACTAAAACAAGTTGCTGCATCCCTGACCTTTCCATCAATCTTTTAACGTAAAATTGAAGGAATCAAAAACATGACAAACAGATCATAACTGAGCACATCTAATAAAATATAACTCAAAATAAAAATGGAAGAGCAGTCCTTTCTAGCATATCTTCACAGAGTTGATAAAAGGCATTCCTCATTACTTGGAAAATATCACTATCTACTGAGGATATGAAAGTTACCCAACATATTGGGCATGAATAGCAGTACGTGCAATGCGTGCAATGCTTTGCTTGTTTCCAATGTGCATACAATGTCGCAGAACAATGTGGAAGTTAAAAGCAGTGGGAATGTACAGATCAGGGGAGAGCACTCTCAACCTGACACTTGTGACCCTGTATATCAATGACTACTTGCCATTGCATGAAAGAACGCATCCTCTATGTGATAAAATCTTTACATCAGGCACATCGCTGGATAACCATAGCAACAGTGAAATAGGTTTGTTTGTGCTGTTATTATAGCAAGGCAAGTCTGTGCAGCTTTGAAGGAGGGATTCAAGGTGTGACAGCTTTGTTGGCACGCGAGACAAACATGTGTCCAACCTTGAAAGATGGCACGATACATATTCATGGAAAACAGACCCTTCTTGTCTGGAAACCTCACAATCTGGACAATTTCTGTTGGCAACGGTACAATACAATTAATGGGACATTAAGGGTTAGAACTTAACACCAGCCCACAAGCCTGGGGCTAGAACAAATTCCTGCGTGCTTGTACAAATTTCTCATTGTTTTAACATTACAAGGCTATTTCCATTCGTGACCAACTCATGTTATTCCGGGGCAAGCCGAATAGCAACTCATGCCCCTCTCATGGCCATTTTTGCGACTGGGTTCCGTCTTAGCACAAATGGGTATACCTAAAACAATTGTCAACTCGTTGCGTACTGATTCGCATATATTTCCCCATAAATTATATATATTTCAGATGCAATTTAAAGCACAATTGGACATGCGGAATTATACAGTATGATTGAACACATTTAACTGTATCTCGGGTATATTTTCAGATGCAGGACATATGTAAAATCAAAAATTATTCCTGAGTGATTCTTTGACAAAGAACTTGAAATCATGCACGTATTCTGATTGGTTTGCCGTATTATTGCACATAACATTCATCGATAGGGGGGACAAGTCTTCTTGCAGGTTATGGAAAGGGGCGAGTGGTGACAAATGGAGTATTTCTTCTTTCCCCAGGCTAGTAAAGCTCTTAAGTTTAGTTCTAACCCTGCATTACTGCGTACCTATGATTCACTAATCTGGATATCTTTTAATCCAGACGATTCACTAGGAATAATGCCACCCAGTGATGCCAGGATTCCTGTCTTGGGATTCATTACAGCTCACCAAAAAGCCACATGTACACTTGTATACATCCCTGTCAAAAACCCAAATGTTGGGATTCGAGACACGTTCAAGTATACATCTATTCACTGTATCCAGATTCAGGGCCTTCATCACCTTGAAGTATATCTCTCATCCTTCCATCTAGATGATGCGTAGTCACTTTGAAGTATATACACACATCCTCCGTATCAATGCGCAAGGCCCAAGACTAAGTGAAATATATGTACATTCATTGTATCCGGGTCAAAGGCCATAAGACACCCAAAAGTTTATATTCAGCCTCAGTATCCTGATATATATTCTGTGTATCCAAGTCCAGGGCCTTTAGACACTCGAAAGTTTATATTCAGTCTCAGTATTGTGATCCAGGACCACCGGATGCCATGATGATCTGGTTCAGCTTCTCTTCTTTGGCTTTTCTCATGTGACACAACTGTGGACAAGACAAGTGATGATTACCACGTGAAACTATCTTCCAAATCCTGTTACTTCATCAAATCTGATCTTCTTATCCTAAAGAATACCTCTCTGCATCATGATTTGACAGACCCGTAATCGAACCGGAAGTCGCGTCAGGTATACCTTCTAATCAGCCAATCAGGTCAAGGCTGCTGAGGCTAAAACAAATAATCGTCTTGGTTCTCAGGCACCAGATGAATCATCATAAAATCTGCTGCCCCTGTTGTTTTTATTTCCATTTTCAAAAAAATATAAAAACCCTATGCACAATGTACAAAAAAAATTGAAAATGGAAAGAAAAAACAAAACGTGCAATAAATTTTATGATGATGTGGGCAGTGCCTGACGACAAAGACTATTATTTTTTTAGCCTAAAGTCCAGAAAAAAGAAAGTGAAGTTTTGAGAGAAGCATCTATCTGATTTCTGTTGCTTCTGATCTTCATCTAAAAGAGCAGCATTAGAAACTGGCACTTGTCCTATAGTCTTTGCCAAACTGCCCAATAGTTAATGTATTATAAGAACTAGTAGAAATTTGCCATTTTTAAGGATTTTGCTAAATGTCATCATTTTAAGTTAGTTCCTATCGCTAAAGAGTGTACGATCAAGGAAAATATTTGTCTGGTCTTTTTCTTGCAAAGATTGAAATCTTTTTAGAAAGCTGACATCTGATTGGCTGAAAAACACTCCTCCTTCATTTTGATTTTCAAGTGAAATTTCACTCAGGGTTCTACGTATAGTAAAAAATGGTTACCTGTTTCTAAAAAAATGGATCAGGCTTGATTACCCTGGATGCAACATTAATATGGCACACAATCAACATTTTGTCTCTTTTTTCTTAGCATCATCAAAGTCAAAATGCATCCAGCCATTGTACAGTGTCTTCTCCATGTCTACACCATGTGCGCTAGGGAAAGTGAGGATGTGAGTTATCTCCCCTGGTAAGGATCTCCAATCTATCTGAACCGGACCTGTGCTTGAGTACTTAAGTACCCGTTGGAGACCTAATGTTATAGGGTGATATTCAGGTCTTGATGCAGAGAGGAATCGTTTCATAGTACAAGATCTTACATAAATGAGATTGCACAACCAATGGTTTCACAACTTCTGCAGTTATTAGTAATATGAGACCTATTAGTATTCGAGAATTTTTGTCAAAACAGGAAGCTTTTCCAAAATTGTTAAAAAGAACCAATTCTTGGTCCCAAATACAAAAACATTTGAATCGGCAGGACAACATGAAGAATTTAACTCACTGTTCTCTTCTGCATATATGTTTGCAGGAATTCTTCAATGTCAATTTTTTCTGGAAAATAAGAAATGAAATATGTCACAATCATAAGACAATATCTGTCAGGAAGTGTGAGATACTCACTATCCAGGAAGTCAGGTGAGGTTTTCTCACATACGGTACAACATACTCACTATCCAGGAAGTCAGGTACAACATAATCACTATCCAAGAAGTCAGGTGAGGTTTTCTCACACATGGTACAACATACTCACTATCCAGGAAGTCAGGTACAACATACTCACTATCAAAGAAGTCAGGTGAGGTTTTCTCACACATGGTACAACATACTCACTATCCAGGAAGTCAGGTACAACATACTCACTATCCAGGAAGTCAGGTACAACATACTCACTATCCAGGAAATCAGTTTAGGTTTTCTCACATACGGTTCAACATACTCACTATCCAGGACGTCAGGTACAACATACTCACTATCCAGGAAGTCAGGTACAACATACTCACTATCCAGGAAGTCAGGTACATCATACTCACTATCCAGGAAATCAGTTTAGGTTTTCTCACATACGGTTCAACATACTCACTATCCAGGAAGTCAGGTACAACATACTCACTATCCAGGAAGTCAGGTACAACATACTCACTATCCAGGAAATCAGTTTAGGTTTTCTCACATACAGTTCAACATACTCACTATCCAGGAAGTCAGGTACAACATATTCACTATCCAGGAAGTCAGGTACAACATACTCACTATCCTGGAAGTCAGAGGCGTGTTCAGGAGGGCGGGCGCTCGCGCGAGCGAACAGCGAGACACTATAACGCCTTCCTGAACGGAAGGCGCGTATTCGCTCTCGCGGCACAGCATTCAAAATGGCGTCGCCGGGTGTCGGGACTGCTCTATTCGAGTTGGCGTTAGAGGACTTATCAAGGCCGGCGGAGGCTATGGATGCCACTTATTTAGATTACGCCCACACTGCTCTCAGTGTTTTATCACAAGACAGAAGAGGGATCAATTTTGTATTATCTCCGTTTGTTAGGCACAGTTCCATCATTTGCACAATGTTGGACGCCATCTTGAATGACTAGGCGAACTACCTCCCGCGCTTGATCGCGAGTACACGCGTGCGCTCGCGCGGTCAGCCGTGTTCAACAGCGGGCGCTCGCGTAATATCGCGAGCGCCCGCCCTCCTGAACACGCCTCAGGTACAACATACTCACTATCCAGGAAGTCAGGTACAACATACTCACTATCCTGGAAGTCAGGTACAACAAACTCACTATCCAGGAAGTCAGGTACAACATACTCACTATCCTGGAAGTCAGGTACAACATACTCACTATCCAGGAAGTCAGGTACAACATACTCACTATCCTGGAAGTCAGGTACAACATACTCACTATCCTGGAAGTCAGGTACAACATACTCACTATCCAGGAAGTCAGGTACAACATACTCACTATCCAGGAAGTCAGGTACAAATACTCACTATCCAGGAAGTCAGGTACAAGATACTCACTATCCAGGAAGTCATCTGCTATCTTCTCCGACTCCTCCTCTGCCTCCATGACAGCGACCTTGAGATTTGTCTGGATGTTGGCAGGATGGAACTGGTCGGACAGCGTCAGGTGGTGCTCACAGTGAGTTTCAAACTCCCCCTTGATGGCATCAAGCTCGGACATCTAAAGTGTAAACAAAGACTTACTTTCTCGGAGCATAGGATAATTTAGTTCATTGCAAAACATGACTTACAAGTTTTGATGTCATATCAATTTTAATTACATTACATGTCACTTTTGAGCTATCTAAAAATGTCAGGTGAGCTAAAAAGAGAGACATGACATTTCACTTACTATCATAACATTTACAATATTATATTTTAATATCTGACCTTCTTCAAGACAGAATCTTTCAGTTCTTCCACCACTGGTTGTTTGGTGAGGTTCTCTCCTGGAACAACGATCAGCATCATAAATCAATGCTTCCAGGAACATTTTACCTTCAAAATGTACCCCAAACAAGGTTATCAATTCTCGGAACCATCCAAAGTTGGGCATAGTTTCTCCGGGAACAATCTGAATCCATGTGATAAGTATTGATTCAAAAGACACTCTAAAGCGCCATTAGACATGTTATTTCATTATGTAAAGAATGTGCATAATAATAACAAACTTGTGCTCTCAAAACAGTTCCGAATGTTTGACTCAAACTTTCTGATGTCACTCTGAAATCCGTGACACACCTTCAGCCATTCCTACCTTGTAACCCCTAGATCCCTCTTTAAGTCAGCTCTTACAAGCATTTTGTGCTGGGAATCTGTATCCTAGACCCTGTTCCACAAAACGGTTGAAGCGCTAAGATGATCGAAACTCCCATACTTTAACATAGAATTACGACAGTCATAGCACTACGGTCACTTTGTGGAACGGGGCCCTGGAACCCCCAAAGCGTCAGCTAGTTTGTCAGACTTTTGGAGGTCGGAGTTTCGCCAAAGTTGCCCCTGAGCTATGGAATAGGCTGCCATTGGATATCAGGAACATTGACAGACCTACTTTGTTCCGATCAAGATTCAAAACCTATCTTTTCACGAAAACTTTCTTGGAGTATTGAGGCTTTGTGTTTTCCTAGCTGTGTAATGTCTCTTTTTTGTGTAGACTCAAATGAAGCGCTTTTGAGCGGTTCTTCGAACTGGATACCAGCGCTATATAAATCTGTAGTTTTATTATTATTATTATTTCTGACAAGTAATTATTTTTCGCTTAAAGGAGGAAACAAACATGTTTGATTTTTACCCACAACACAATTGTGACCAATTTGTTCATTTTTTAACATTTTTTTTAACAATTTATTTTTTCCCAGCATTTATCAGGAATATTGTATTTGTGATATAGTGCATTTGATTTATATTTATCAGAAGACCTTCGCCTTGGTTGATTATTCCAGTTCAGTTGTGATGGAACTTCCATCAGTTGTACACACCTTTCACTCAAATTAACAAGATGTTTCTCAGTAATTAATCCTTGATTAATCAGTGTCAACTCAGTTTATTGCCTATTACAGTGATTGACCGATTGGCCTATCATGTAGGTACGATGTATTTACAGCAATCAGTACAAACAAAGCTTGTCAGTGTAGATAATCTTCATTGTGTTACAACTGCAGACAGAAACTGCTCAGTCCTAACTGTTGATCATGTCCGGTCAAAATTTAAGAATGTCCGGACAATACTTTTTAAAATGTCCGGACAGAAAAATTTAAATGTCCGGTAAGCAATATTTTAAACCGGACATTTGAGATTCCCAATCGGACATGTCCGGCGCATATGACGGTTTCCGGACCCCTGGGTGGAAGTCTATGATGTTATACAGTCAAACCCTGTTATCTTGAACCTAGCAGGGCTGTGTTGTAAGTTCGAGATATCCGGACATTTGAGATAACGAGGCATGAAGATCCCCTCAGTTCACGTAACAGAATTATAGATACATAGCAATACGAGTTTTGAGTTTGTTGTGTTTAACGCCACTTTTAACAGTATTCCAGTCATATCACGGTGTGTCAGCTTAATGTGGGAGGAAAGCCCCAAGTGATGCAGGTCTTAGACGTTTACCACTTCGGTGAAACCCACGAGCACGGGTTTGGTGCTGACAAACCTAGAAACATAGCCCGGCGAACCGGGATTCGAACCCACTATCATAGGTTTCTGGCGTGCCCAAGGGATGCATAGCAAGACGACTGCATATATGAGGAATTAAGAGCCCAGCACGTTTACGTGATGACAAATTGAAATGTATTTCATTGGCAATAAATCAATAACAATTGTCACAAATTATGTACTGTGTACATGTTCCTTATTAGGCATAGCAGCAATCACTATTCAGTCTGTCAAAAAAAACCAAAGTGCCATTCTTGCTTTAAGCTTGTTAATTCACAGCTTGGATATTGCGTCACACGGCTTTGATTCCTATTCCGACATTGATTAGCATTTTTTTTTATGAAACCAGGAAGTGCTGTCATGTGTTTTAACTCATGTCTACACACAATTTTTTTTTGTCAAAAAGGATTACCATTACAATTGGATTAAAAGATAAGAAAACAGTTAGTTGAAAAATGGTTTAAATTGCACTGTACGTTTAGTGCCATGTTAAATGTGTGGACAAGTGGCAACTCTGAAGTAAAGGTACCAAACTAAAGTAAAATCATAGCTGGGACCCGGACCAGGGTTCGAGATATTGCTATTTATTTTTAGCTTGAATTCAAAATTTATTAATTTAGATGTATTTATAAATAGAGTGAGTCAGGACTGGATAATAGGTTCGCGATATCGGTACAATTAAGATAACAAGGTTCAGGATAATGAGGTTCGACTATACTTTGTATCACAACCTCATGGCTTTCAAGAGTGGGTTTCTCATAGCTCATTATGTACCAATAGGTAGAGGGTGCTATGGAAAGGTATAGAGAATTTCTTCAATTTACAATGTTGCTGATTTTTTAACATTTCAAACAATTGAATTAAATGGCATCATGTACTCAATAAAGCACACAAATCTGAAAACACAACATTTCCACATGAGGATGTGCCAGAGTGATTTGTGGCTGAGTGTTATTCTGGTGATGTGATGACAGTGTGACCTACTTGCAAGCTGCACGCACTGAGCTGAAATATCCTCCCTGTCTTGAGTGAACCTTGCCAGCTCTGGAAGACCCTGCAGTAAGTCTAGCACTTTCTCCTCGTTATCAACCAGCTCCTGCAGCTCAAACAATCTGAAAGGAAAACACTTGCAGTGTACACTCTTGATGGCAATGTCATATAACATAACAACAATGTCCACAATGCTGGTTACAGGCTGTTTGTTTGTTTGTTTGTTTGTTTGTTATACCCCACTTATAGCTGCACGCTTTTTCCGAGTCCATGAAAGTCACGTGACATGGCACAAGTTAACCTTAGCTCAATCGAAAAGCTGTGTTCTATCAATTTTGAATTTGTTTTAATTCTTTCACAATGTCACATTAAAACATGTCAGAAGGATAATTTTGTTGCAGCAGGATCATTCAGAATACACAGGGTTTTATGCATCCCTCTTTAAGTTTTATAAAAACCTGACGCTGGAAGCATGAAACCCCATGTACCCACAGTGATATTGCTACAACATAATGGTTGCCTTTTGAGACCAGCAAAGGTTAAGTGTATACAATTTGTATCCGATTTTTAAAATTTACACACAATACAAACACTAATCTTACCCTTTATCCTTGAGCTCGGGATAAGCTTTCATTATGTCTGGCACAGGGTAGGCTGGACTGGAGGCATTCTGGAACATTCACCAACATGTACAGTGAGTTGGTTGGTTGGTTTGTTGTTTAATGCCGCACTTCCAGCTATATGACGGCGGTCTGTAAATAATCGAGTCTGGACCAGACAATCCAGTGATTAATATCATGAGCATCGATCCACGCATTTCGGATCGATGACATGCATCAACCAAGTCAGCGAGTCTGACCACCCGATCCCGTTAGTCACCTTTTACGACAAGCATAGTCGCCTTTTACAGCAAGTATGGGTTGCTGAAGACCTATTCTCCCCCGGAATCTTCACGGGTCTCACCAACATGTACGGTGAGTTGGTGAGGTGATGCTGCTCCTACCATTATCCCAGGTCAACGCTTCTACAACCTACCCCACTGCCCCAAATTGTATACACTGGACAGAAAATAGTAGCAACATTAAGTTTTTGTTTGTTCGTTGTTTAACACTGCACTGAGCAATATTCCAGCTATATGATGGTGGTCTGTAAATAATCGAGTCTGGACCCGACAATCCAGTGATTGATATCGTGAGCATTGATCCACGCAGTTGGGATACGATGACATGCATCAACCAAGTCAGCGAGTGTGACCACCCAATCCCGTTAGTCGCCACTTACAACAAGCATAGTTGCCTTTTACAGCAAGTATGGGTTGCTGAAGACCTATTCTACCCCGGAACACTCACAGTATCCTGATCTGACAAAATCGGTGGGCCTTCCCTTCCATTTTCCACAGCCCTTGGGGGCAGAGGTGGGGGTCCTACTAGGGGATACAAAGCTTGTGGATTCCCATACAAGGGATAGCCAGGCCCTGACACTGGAGCTACCGGGGGCTGAGGGGCTCCAAACTGCTGACCAACACTGCAAAATATCCAAAATATTCAAAATATTCAAAATATTCAAATACAAATGTTATTATGGATTAGCTAAGTTTCAGTTCAATTAAAGAAGTGCAGTTGATATTTTCTTGGCAGTGATTTAACCCTAAAATTTTCAGATTATTATATTTTTATATCATGTATATTGGATAATTACATGTCACACTCATGTCATTTGATGTCAAATATATCAATACTTGTGAATAACAATGGCAACCTCCTTTGCAAATCATTACAATCCATCTTCCCAAGGCAAGGGCATTAACTGACTATATAAATCCAGTTGCCACGCTTGACAAACAAGATTTGAATAAAGTGGCTCGATCATAGCGCCACCAGTGGCTATTATGATTTATGACCTCCTATGTCCCTCCTATTGACCAATCAGATTCCACCTCTCACATCACTTGCATTTGTTTCGAACAAAATGGCAGCGCCCAGTCAAGACAATCTGATCAATAATCAAGATCTACATCATAATAAAACGTGTCTTACCTCGCGAAACTTCATCAATTGGTTTGAAACATGAAAAGATTTGGAAGATACCTGTCATCGCTGAGTTTACGGTACACATGCTTTGCAAATCCTGCAATTCGACTGAAATCTGCACATTGAAATACATGTTGTTTACGAACCGAATGTCTTGTTCAATTCGCAATTTTGATTGGACTATGCCAGTGTTCGAAATACCTGCCTGCCCGACCGTCCGGGACGGGTTGATTTCAAATCGGGCTGAGAGATTTTCAAATCCCCCTGCCCGACAGTCGGGTTATATTTCATAGGTGAAAATATTCTAAATATTTCCCGATGATAAGCATTAATTCAGATGTAAAGATGAATGATAAATTGTAACCAAAAAGAAATCCCGTTAGCTTTTAGACAACCTAACATTTAGCGATGCGCTTATGCTACAAGCAATCAGTTTTCATATTTTTAATTAAATTATCCTGAGAAACATATGATTATAGTGGGCAGGCAGGTTTTGGTTAGGGCTGGCAAGTATTTCAGCTAGCCAGTCTGGCTGAAATGTTTGGGAGTTTCATACCCTGACCATGCATAGACTTTTTAGTCCAGCCAAACAGTAACACCGGAATTACAGCCTAGTTCAGCAAGGGTGGAAACTGGATTTATAGTCAGTGTACTCCCTTGCCTCGGGAACATGCATACATTGCTACTTTAATCAACATGTGCTGATAAACACATGGGGATGATGATTGGAGTGTTTTATTCTTACAGATGAGGTAAAATCCTTGGAGGTGTCTTCTTAAACTCCTCTACTATGGTCTGTATTGCAACCCCAAGGTCTGAGTGCATGGAAAACTGAAAGAAATCAGTCTGTTGATTGAAAACATATATTTCATGAATAGAAAAAGCCTTCAGTCTCGGTTGAGATTATGCAGAAAACATTTTTTTCTTTTAAAAATAACTATGGAAAATTATGATTATTGAATCAAAATTTTCAAATTTATTTATTTCCACTTTTCAGTGTTCTAGTGACGGGCGCTGCAAACAAATTCTTTGGAATAGTATTGGTTAAAAGAAGAAAGAGTAAGAAGAGAGATGATATGTACATTATTGATATTTGGGCAGCCGACAACTTTCATTTGTATGTCCACCCAGGGATGGGTGAGGGGAGGCTGAACTGTCACCGATGGCTTGTCCTGGGGAAACTGGGGAGACAGTGTGCTGTAAAACAAACAAAATAACATGATTTAATAACAATATTTCTTCAAATTGAATAATCCTTTACCACATGGGTACATTGTGTGAAGACATATTGTCAAAAGGAGCATAAAACTATCTTCATTCATCATTCATTAATATCATGATGTTCTGGTATAGAAACTTATCCCTTTGTTTACCTAAAGAATGACAAAAACTTACTCTGAAAGTGAAACATGATTAAATTCAATTGCAACCTAAAAGTTGGTACCGCATGCAGCAGTGAACATGACAAACGAGTCTTCCACAGATGTCACTCTTTCAATGTCAGCTTAATAGAAACCACAGAGTAACAAGTCAATTGTTCAAAAAGTAATCTGGAGCTCTGTTTGTGTATTGCTATTTATGGCATTACTGAGGGTGAATTGAGTATGTGAATGTTGATAACTGCCATATTCAGTAATTATCCATCCATAACACAGTGGACTGTTAGTTATTGAGCCTGCAGCTGGCAAAACAATAACTTAAAGCAAGAGCAACGACCCATGCTGTTGAGCACAGGGCACGACCACCCATTTTACCAAACATGCATCATCATTGCTAATCATGCTAATTATAAATTAGTTAATCAGGCTTATACCATGAGCTATATTTCCTCTATTAGACATCCAGGCATCTATTAAACTCGCCAAAGCCATTGACCGGCCTCTTTTAGGGGCCAAGGGGTCTATTTTGTTTAATGCTGCAAAATGACAACTCACTACATTACTGAACCCCAAATTCTTCAGTCATTCAAAGGGATAATATGCCGGAAACGGTAATTAGTAACCACCAACATATCACAGAATAAGAGGCATTTTTGCGACAGAAGGTATGACCAGGTGTCAGTTAGAGGTTGGCGCATGGTGCTGGTTCAGGATCAAATAGAGGAAATATGGCATACATTTACTTTGTTTCAGAAGAACCAGCAGACTTACATGATCAGATTGATGTTTGTTCCAGATATGTTGGAAATAGTTGCCCTGTATTCGACGTCCCGAACAATTTCAATCACACTGTCAAAAGAAATCACATTCAACATAATTTATTTGTTTTATATGTGAAGATTTATGACACGAAATCATTTAACTATTGCTAGTTTTTACCAAGAAGACTACTGATCTGTTCAAAACCTAATTTCGATTTACACTTGCCTCAAGTTTGTTTTCTTCATACTCTCGATCTGTTTTGTTCTTTGAGTCTGAAGATTCGTTGCTTGAGGACTTTTGCCCTTTCCACCAAATAATCTGTTCATCATCTTGAAAAGTTTTATGTGTGTCTCTGACAATAAATTGCAATTTATACCACAAATCCAGTTCACAGCTGACTCATTTTTAATTCTGACAATATTTCTATTCCCGGATATCACAAAACGTCATCATAATGTGTGTAGTTTGAACTTCCGGTATTTCATGTGAGTGCTATTTTCTTAGAAACAAACTACATTCCTTATCCAAAAGAATTGTTTTTGGCCAATTCAAATATATAAATACATATTTCAGAGGGAGGATTAAGCAATGTTATTCTACATATTTATTAAATTTACGAAATACTTTGATCTCTAAAATAAAAATGACCAACAAATATCTAAAACGAATAAATGGAAATGGTTGTCAGTAAATGTTGATCAGTCAGTGCGCAGACGCTACGGCCATAGCACGAAAAGAACTAGACCCAGTACAAAGAAATGTAGACTTGGGTGGAAATTGTCCCATCACCTTTTGACGTCTGTAACTTCTTACTTCTCTCTTAGGAAGGGTAAGATAATAAACAAGAGCGCAGCCATGATCAGTGTAATGCAAAAATGACACGAGATGTGCAATTTCTGAGTTCAAAAACTGATACATCGGCACACCTGAACGGGGTGTTCATCTTGGCCCAAAGTTGTGGGTACCCATGTCGAAATGCGTTACTTTCTCATATCACTGTCAATCGACAAGTCAAAGGAAATTGTCAACGATTCCTGACTATATCTTTGTTTATGTGATTCACTGTGGCATTCAGAAAATCTGTCAAATATTTTTATAAATTTACAAATAGTTATTGCAAGACATGTATTTCTGATTTTCAAAACACAAAATTTCAAGGTCTTCCAAAATGACATGTAGTAATGGATACCCTTTTCTTAACTATGTTAAAACAGTTCTGTTCATATTTTGCACCCGTGAGAAACGCTCTGTTGACAAGTGTTCTTGCCAACATTTTACTTCCTTTCCAAACTTCTGCGAATCCAATCATGATTGCAAAATATTTCGTTTCAGAGAATCCTTGCAACAGCTGATTGCTAGACACAGTTGTATCTCGGTAAGGCGGGTAGAGAGAGTGAAGGAGGGTAGCAAGGTATGTTGCGAGAATGCCGTCGGTAGCACAGACTGAGTATGGTATTCGTGATGTATGGGCAGTACACCTGGAGGAAGAGTTTAGAAACATCCGACAAATTGTACAGAAATACAAATATGTAGCTATGGTAAGTTTAACATGACAATTGGAGTTTTTTCATTAGATCATCAGTTTGTGCCTTAATCACCAGCCCAAAGTAATTTCTCTGTTAGCTAAGCAAACTTTGATTTTCAAAATCCATGTGCAGTGGAGTTAATATTTTCTTGAAATTTTGCCAAAAGTGTAAGATTTTGGGGCTAGTAGTTATTGTATTGATAAAGATTTTGGCACAGACTATGATATGGCATTATTTTGTATTATTTTGGTTGAGTGAAAGCAACTCTTTGGAGCATTTCTTCGGTTGTTTTTTTTATTTTGTGTTAAACATGTTAAAGTTTGACCACATATTGGTATTATTTGTATTACACTTTTGTAAAAATGTTTCAATCCATCTTTACTCATTCTAATGCTCATGCCTGAGAAAAGCAATTAAGATTTGTCATTAATATTGCCCAGTAATCACAGATCAGCTTGCAGTTAACTGCTCACTGTTCCAACTGCTCAAATACAGACATTTGGCTGTGGATGATTTACTCTCATATCAGATCTCCTTTGGAATAGTCTGCCTGTTTCAAGGAATTCTCATCACTCAGCATTTTTCTATGAAGATATTTGACAATATAAGACATTTGTTTTTTGTCTTATCTCTTTGTCATGTTTGTAGTACTATGGGCATGATGAGCAATCACTAGATTATTCTGTAATATCATGAATATGGGGGTCGTCACGATATGGCTGAAATATTGCCGATGTGACGTTAAACTTTAACTCACTCACTCATGAATATGGGCAGATTAGACATTATTATTATTATTATTAAACATTATTATTATTATTATTATTATTATTATTATTATTAAGTAATCTTAAATCTGTATCAGATCTGGCATCATTATGAGTAGTATTTGTCATCTACCCTTATCCAGTGTGTGGAGTAAAGTAAGCATAACTATATTTCAGGACACAGAGTTCCCTGGTGTTGTTGCAAGACCCATTGGGGAATTCCGCAGTACGACAGACTATCAGTACCAACTTCTTCGATGTAATGTTAATCTTCTCAAAATCATCCAAATTGGATTCACATTTATGGATCAAGATGGAAACAGACCACCAAATACTTGTACATGGCAGTTCAATTTCAAATTCAATCTTCAGTAAGTATGATACATAGTCTATCATGGTCTATATCCATTGGCGTTTTTCAGTTAAGTTGATATTCAGAAATTCAGAAGTTACAAACGCATTCCTGTGAATGAGGAAGTGAAACTATTCGTGACCTGTATATAATGTATCTGTTGTGCATGTGTTGTCACCATAGCAGCATCCAACAAAATGGTGGACGACTCTGTTTGTCAAAACTGTGTGGGGAAAGTCTGATGCTTGGGTCTATTTTTATTCGGGTTCATATCAAAGTTCAGATGAAAGAATACATGCAGTGTATTGTGGTACATATTGCAGTGCATGAAGTAGTATTTCAATAAATATAAATATGGAAGTCTGGCCAATACCCATCATTACCAGTGGTGCCTTGTGGGAATTCCGAATCAGGTCCCCAATACATCATGCTTGTCACAAGCAATGAGTCAAATGATGATCTGGTTGTCAGGCCTTGTGACGTCATCGCAGACAATGGTTTACGTAATAGCTCATCCCACAGCCTCCTTGGACTCATGGATAGAGCGCTCATGCACACACGTCGCTGTATAAATGCAATAATCTTGAACGCAACATAAAACCCTGTTGCACCTCACCTCGTCTCATTGCTAATCCTTTCAGATTTTTATTTGCCTTGGGATCTCCCCCGTGTTCTAGTGGTAGAGCATCCGCCGGGAGAGCGAAAGGTCGGGGGTTCGATCCCCGGCCACGTCATACCAAATGACATTAAAAGATCGTACTTGTCGTTACCTTGCCTGGCGCTTGGCATTAAGGGGCTAAAACAAGGACTGGTTTGCTCGGAGTCAGTATACTGTGTCTGAGTGGTGTATTCATGTTAAACTGCGGCAGAGTAACTCGGTGGGCTAGCGCTATTAAATCGCCGTTAATCCGGACCAGTCAGTACAAGCAGCCATACAAACACAGACATGCATACATGTCACTGTAAGTGCAATAATCTTGAACATGACATAAAACCCCATTTCACCTCACTTCACACTTGATTTGTCTTGTCCATAATTGATATTTATCATGTTTAATTTGAAAATATGGCTTGTGGGCCAATGTAAAAGTAAAAGGCGACTAACAGGATTGGGTGGTTGACTTGGTTGATGCACGTCATCGATCCCAATTGCGTGGATCGATACTCATGATATCAATTACTGGATTGTCTGGTCCAGACTGGATTATTTACAGACCACCGTAATATAGCTGGAATATTGCTGAGTGCAGCTTAAAACAACAAACCAACCAACCAACCATTTACAGACCGTCATAAAGCTGGAATATTGCTGAGTGCGGCGTAAAACAACAAACCAACCAACCGTTTACAGACTGTCATAAAGCTGGAATATTGCTGAGTGCTGTGTAAAACAACAAACAAATAAACAGTTGAAAATTGGGCAGCATTCATTTGTGTACTTCCAGAAATAATGTCCTTTTCCTTCCACAGGGAAGACATGTATGCTCAAGAGTCTATTGACTTACTGAGGAAATCTGGGATACAGTTTGAGAAACATGAACAAGATGGGATTGATGTCGGCGACTTTGCTGAATTATTGATGACTTCAGGTGTTGTACTCGTGGATGAAATCAAATGGTTGTCCTTCCACAGGTAAGTTTGCATCCGGAGGAAGATTAAGTCATTTTGATATCAACATGATCAATCTTAGCTCAAAAACTAGCCAAAGATTATATCAGTAGGCACATTGACTAAATGTTAAACTTGTGACGATTATCAAAATTGAGCTCATGACTTGAGGCTCATACCCCTAAGCCCCGCGCCCCTAAGCCCCTAAGCCCCACACCCTAAGCCCCACGCCCCTAAGCCCCACGCCCCTAAGCCCCACACCAGCTGATTCCCCTGCTGTGTGAAGCCTATTCTCTGTGTTCCTGCTGTCATATGATGAAATAATGTTCAACTTTAAACTCTCCCCTCAGTTGGAAATGATTTCCTATTGAACAGAATCTTGGAAATTAATGCTGTAGAATGTCATTAGTTTGCAATTACAGCATGTCATTGGGGTCACGGGTGGCCCAGTTGTCTAAAGCACCACAATTCGCTATGCAGAGTTACATCCCTTGGGCACGCCAGAAACCTGTGATTGTGGGTTTGAATCCCGGTTCGCCCGGATTATGTTTCTAGTTTTGTCAGCACTATACCCATGCTTGTGGGATCACCGAAGTGGTAAACGTCTTGAGATATGCATCACTTCAGGCTTTCCTTCCACATTAAGCTGACACACCGCGATATAACTGGTATACTGTTCAAAGCGACCTTAAACCCAACTCACTCACTCACTACAACATGTCATCACAGTTTTTGAAATAGATGATTGTGTCAGCATGTATATATTTTGTGTGCTTTCTCTTACCAACATTCTTTTCGTTTCAGTGGTTTTGACTTCGGCTACCTACTGAAGATTCTCACCAATTCCAATCTACCCACGGAAGAGTCTGAGTTCTTTGAGCTATTGCGTCTTTACTTTGCCAACATCTATGACATCAAGTACTTGATGAAAAGCTGCAAGAATCTAAAAGGGGGACTGCAAGAGGTTGCAGATCAACTTGAAGTGAGTGAAAAATCAGGACCTAACTTCTGAGCATGTGTTTAAGATAGCTTAGGATAATGTATCATTGGCACTAAATCCTCCTGATTTAGTAAAACTGAAAAATAAAGAGGAAATTCTATGCTTCTCTGCATTTAGTGAGCAGCCTTAGAGCTATTTCAGTAATAGATTGAAAGTACCATGTTAACATGCCTTCTGACCCCTGAAAATTCCGGGGTAGAATAGGTCTTCAGCAACCCATGCTTGCCGTAAAAGGTGACTATGTTTGCCGTAAAAGGTGGTTATGCTTGTTGTAAGAGGCGACTAACGGGATTGGGTGGTCAGGCTCGCTGACTTGGTTGATGCATGTCATCGATCCCAATTGCGTGGATCATTGCTCATGATATCAATCACTGGATTGTCTGGTCCTGACTCGATTATTTACAGTCCGCCGTCATATAGCTTGAATATTGCTGAGTGCAGCATTAAACAACAAACCAACCAACTAACGTGCCTTCTAATAGGTGTGATGTTTGTTCCAGATTCAGAGAGTTGGACCTCAGCATCAAGCAGGGAGTGACAGTTTACTTACTGGGTCTTCTTTCTTCAAAATGAGAGAGGTAAGAAATATATGGGTCAAGAAGCTTTTCATGGTGGTACAATTTCAGTTGTGTAAAAGATGCAAAGATCTGTGGATTCATGTCGTGTCCTGTGACCTAAGTTGAGTGTTACTCTGATACTATCCCCACACTTCAGGGTTAAGGTATGTCACCTGTACATCATGCTTGAAGGAAGGGTATTAGATTGTATTACATGGTCAAAATGACTGCTGAGTGTGTATAGTACTTTGATTGGTGATCACCAGGAAAGACCCAACTGAGTTTGTGTCAGCTTACTCTTGGAGCTTTGTTCACACTGTTGACTTGTCTGTCCTGCCCAGACCCGATTGACCCTTTCGGGATTCAAGGGCAGAATAGGTTGCCAGTACCCTATGATTACGAGAGTCTACTAATGAGGATTGATTCGTCACATGTGACCTGGCTTATTGTGTGACATCTTCCCCCTAAAGCATGGATAGCTGCTCATGCTAGCAACGAGTGCAGATATTTTGCTGGTGACAAATGGTATTGAGGCATCTTCAGGGTTTTATCCATTTCAAACATGTTGAAAGGTCATTCTTCTACCAAATTTGAAAAAATATCTTTTGGATGACAGCAAGACAATAGCGTAGAAAATCAATCATATCACTCGGTCACATTTATCTTTAGCCTGTGCTTTCTATCTTCACAGATGTTCTTTGAAGACAACATAGACGATGCTAAGTACTGCGGCCATTTATATGGAGTGGGAACATCATATGTACAGAATGGTACCTCAACGTTTGAGAACAATAGCTACAATTCTACCCCCAACTCTCACTCAACACCAGTTTCAAGTGCAGAGGATTCAGGAGGGACCATGACGCAGGCTTCTACTTCATGATCTGGACTAGCTTAATCATGTCAGTGGTGGTATGACTAAACACACTAGTCTGTGACATCAGTGAGACTGCATGGGTGAGGGTGGGTGGATGATGGGATGGGATGGGATGGGATGAGGGTGGGTGGGTCAGAGGATGGGTGACTTACTGCTGTTGTATAGTCTCCATGGACAATGTCCTGTCTATCTTTGGTGACGAGGCTTCAATATCTGCCATCGCTGCTGATGACAGGATGCTGTTTATATAGGGGTGGTGGCAAGTCACCTGTAACAAAGTGCTTATGTTTTAGCCATCTCCCAAAGTTATATGAACCTAGGATCGCAATTTGAACATCTTGAGAGGAAGGTGATGCAAGACCCAATAATTATGAAGCTCGATGACTAGGAATAGTCATGCTAAGACTTTCAGTTCTTTTTTCGGTTGGTACTCTGTACAGAAATGTGATACATATTTTTATTTTTTATCTGCTAGCTGTCATACCACCACTGACAATACGCAATACGAAGGCTAATGTTGTTCTCTGTCACTTTTGTCATGGGTTAGGTTATGTCAGGATGTTCATGGGCTTGCTGTCATCGTCATTCGGAACATCTCAGGGTACATTGAGGTGCAGGACTAACGTGTTCACATTGGTAGCCCATTACCATTCCTCCTATGTTTATTTCACATCGAGGCATTTCTTTTTTTATTGCTTGGTTAACAGACATAATGGATTTAAATTAATCTTTTTTATATCCCCAGTCTTAATTTCTATTAAAATAATAATGGGGAAATGAACTCTTTCAGAAAATAAGTCCTTAAAATAAAATATATTTTTTTATATTTCAACCAGAATCATTTGGTATGGAAAAAAAATTCTAAGCCAAGTAATAAAAAAGGAGGTCTAACCATCATCTTTATGAAATACATACTGGCAACATTTTCTGACTACTGAATAATCCAGTTAATGAAGTAAGGAAGAATTACAGCTTGCATATGAAATTGTGATGCAATGCAACTATTTTAACAAGTTAAGCTTTGTGATACTTTGGAAGAAAGATAGCTTTGTTTATACATGAAAATTCGATTGAAGCTGCTTTTAGTTGTAAGATGATTTTCACGAAGAAAAGTTGAGTTTTGTTTTACTGGCTAACAGTTTTAAAGTAATTGGTTTGTGTCTTTACAATAAGTCGAATCCATACACCAGACGTAACGCATGAGTTTTAGACGGTTACAAGCAAAGGGGTTCAAGTAGAAGACACTCTCCTCAATTAATGTCTTTCATTCAACTATGTTAGTATTTTATTTTAACAGCATGCTTTCACCTTGTTACTTTTGCCTTACATGGGACACAGGTGAACACACCTTTTCCTTGCCACCAGATTGATCATCGCCTGACGACATTGTGTATCTGTGATAATCAGTATTACCTAACAAATGTTTTAACTTTCGATCCTAATTGTGTTTATTGGAGACCACAAATCATGATTATGATTTATTTGTTTGCAAATTTAGCTAATTTGGAGTATTTACTATTCTAAATGCACTTCAGTTTGTTTGAACCAGAAGAAATGTGATCTAAAATGTATGGTTTTTTATCTGTCAAAAACTTAACAATGAAGGTGTCATTTTTAATTCCTCGTAAATTGGCATTATTTATTACAAAAATTGAATTTTCATTTCAAGTTAACAATCCTGAACCCACTGATTGATTTGTTGATTGTTAACTATTGTCGACCATTGCCAATAGTCAGTGGAGCATTACAAGGAATGTTTGGGACATTTGGGGGAAAAGATTTATCACTGCCGGTATTGAACTTGAGAAACAAGCAGATGAAACCTTTTAGCCTGGATTATGCTTACTATAAGTTCTGTGCCAGTGTAGATGTTTAAGATATCTGGTGACAAGGGAATATGCAAGCACCAAAGTCCGAGCTGAGAGTATGACCAGTGTAGTTTTAACATTGAAGAAGGGTCAGATCAAAGAGATGGACTCACATCTTGAAATAACCGATAACAAGTATGTAGCTGAAATTACATTTGTTGAATTTATACTTTTCAAAGAACAAGTGATTTTGGTTGTATTTTAAGTGTTTTAACTGAAACTGAAGCTTCTGTTTTGATATTTAGAACTATTTACATTTTGATGAAGTTGTAATCTCAAACTCTGACCTAATTTTAGTCTGAAACAAAGGAGTGCTTGCTGTAATAAAGATCATATTGAAGCTAAACTCTTAATACTAAGCCACCTTCTCCTGCCGTGGTTGCTGTGGGTACAATTTTCACACTTATTTTAGTTTTAACTCTGGTATGCATACATTACTAAGAATGTTTTTAGTCAGAAGTTTGTGCCTTCGATTTCCTTACTGAGATGATTTTAGTCCCAATGGATACATTGTGGTGTTCAGTTCCCAAATCACTGGCTATTCAAGCACCTGTTTTGTAGGAATACTGAACACTACTGATTGTTTCCGTTTGGACCGACAAGTGCAATAACAGGGTCAAGGTCAAACTTTTGAAACCATCCCTCATATCTCCATGACGATGGTTTCGGCATCTTTTATCATTGGGTGTTGTACATATTGCTTAAAATCATTATTATAGCTGAATTGTATTTTTAATAAAACTGTTATACTGGAAAATTTTATATCATTTGATGACATACATTATTGCATCATATTTTATGGAAAAGCATGGTTAATCACTGTGATATTAAAATAAGATATATATGTATCATCATTTGCTCTCTCCATCAGAAATCATCTATTTTTGTCAATGTTCAGATGCAGCTTCACAAATCGTGTTAGGAGCCTGAACATTCTGATTCAACAGAAGTGTCGCTCATGGTTAGTGTTTCTCCCTGATAAGTGACCATTTGTACAAATAGATATTCAAGACAAAGTGCCATTGTCTTGTTTCAAAAGAGGTTAATGGATTTCTTCGTATTTGTTGACATGAGAAATCTGTAACATATACATCCATGTAAGTGGATAAATGTTTAATTATTTTAGTCTCCTCTAAGGTCAATGAGATATAAGTATATGTAATTTCTAAACCAGTGTTTGACCACCTGTTGCTATGGACATTTCCGAAACCTTTTGTACATTGGTGATGCAACCTAGGTGTAAAATGTTATGAGGATATATTTCTGAATTGATGTATCACTATAAGGAAAACAGTGGACAGTGTCAGAGCACCTTATTGGCAAAGCAGGTAACCACAGCCCTTATGGCTGTTTCAGTTTTCAGAAGACATTCATGCCCATTACAGTTGTCAACTTTCTGGTTATGAGCTGGTTATGTTCTATCAATGCTAGGATCTTGCCAGCACTGGTTTAAGTAATTGAAACGGCTGAACTATTTGTTATCAAGCCTATCTTTTGGATTGTATAAAATTTGAACTGTACCATATGTTTGTATTTGAGCTACTTACATGTTTGTTGCTATCTGAGAATTTGAGACACCCTGTGATTGCCTCATCTGTACACAGTTGTGTTGTAGTGGTACCTTCCAATATAATCTGTGTCAGATAGTTATGGGTTGAATGAGACACGGATGAGTGATGGTGACTTACACTTTTCAGGAAGCTTTAATAATCAATTATGAATAAGTTTTGTACATCTCATGTCGAATTACAGTTAGTATTCGAGGAGGGCCCAATCTGGCACTGAAATGATTCTTGTACAATGTAATGTCTGTACAGCTGTCATACCAACAGAAATGGATCTTTGTCTACCTTCAACGTCTTGATGTGAAGGCAAGTAATTTTAACTCGAGCAGTGGTGCAATTTGACTACCATGTACATTCCATTCATGACAAAATGATTTTAAGAATTTTATGTACCCCTTCTAATGATTTTTGGATTGCCTGACCATTGTCATAGTTGTCATCTCTGAGAATGTTGTCTCATGTGTCCTCACTGCTCACCCATGTCGTGGACTAAGGCAGCTAACATCTCACCAGCACATTTAGACTCAGACATTTCAACCCTGCAGCATCATGTGATTTAGTCCCTCATACTACAGTAGTAGAGCAAATAGTAACACTCGAATCTACTTTTAGCATGCATTTGCAGCCATCTGATGTAGGTATTTGTCATGTGCATTCTTCTTTGAGAATACGCACAAGCAGTGGAACTTTTAATGTCGGCAGGTTATGTTCAGGCATATAAAATTTGTGTAAAAGTGATTTGAAGCATATGCTCATGTACCTTCTTCGGATGACTGTGAACCAGTCTTATTTTAACTGCGTCAATCTTGTGAAGTGCCAATATTGTTTGATTTTACCTGTCTGTCTCTGTTGATCTGCGAGAGTGCCATCTTGTATGTCAGCTCGGCGTATGTATAGGACACATAGGATCAGAACAGTCATAAGATTCTAGTTGTCTTCCAGAACGATGATATCATTTCCTTTCATGGATATTTTTACTTTTGTAAATTGCAAATTAATTTCTCCTTGAATTTCTTAAGGGATCGCACTGTCTGCTTTAAAATGGAAAGCCGATACGTCTATTGTTAAGCTCTATACAGTGATGACTGTCTTGGATCCTGTGTGACCTCTCTGGGTACCCAGACAAGCACTTCCTCAACAGTTCGAGTGTTTGTATCTGTGGCAGAGCTCATAACTTTGGGAGATGGCTGTTCTTGTCTTTTATCCTATTCTGTAAATAAAACAGACATGTCCTTTTGTTTATTTCCTATGAGCATAACAAAGTGTTTTTCTTTTCATTTTACATCATTCAACATGACTGGGTTGTTTCCTGTTCAAATGGTTATGTCGTGGGTTTGACGAAGGTGTCAGCGAATATTCCTGCAATAATACAGGTGCCTGTGAAATGTCGTGATGAATCAGGCGAACCGATGAATTAAAGTATGAGCAAAGATCCACTCCATCCGGATACAATGCCACAGAATGAGACAAATCAGAACCTGACCCCTCAATTTCCTCATGAGTCGCCTCTGAACAGGAATATGATGCTGAACACCTTTCCTAACCCAGAATCACCACACTGTTGAACACCCAAGAAGGATAGCAGGTGATGAATTAAAAATCGCTGAACGAAGCTTTTCAGAATTTTGGAGACCTGCAACTGCTTCTTGTGAGCAGTGGGGGCACGG